GGTTTATCATATGTGGTTATTATTCGGGACGAACAATATTAAGGAGGGGGCAGTGTTGCGTCAGCGAGTCACATGACCACTGTGACGCCACGTTTCTAGAACTATCCTGTACTTTGGCGAATGGTCTAGTATTTACTAGATAGGGTAGGCTGGTATATATAAGAGGGGGAATAATGTAATGTGTGGGTAGACAGTGAGTAATTGATCTGCAGTCAGAAGTATTATTGAGCACGTTCGTTGTTATTGCGTTTGTTTAGCGCGATTGTTGAAGTTGAGTGTATCGGTAAAGTTATATTCGTAAAGAATAAACCAGTTTTTATTAAGAAAGAACTTTTGTCGCTTAAGTTTCGTCGGAACGAAGTTACGGAAAATCAATTAACAAACGGAGACGTAACATTATTATACCTAGAACTTTTTCAAAAAAAGAGATAAAACAATCTTTAAAATATTGTTTAGTTTTTTCAGTGTTGTAAATATTCTGTGAGTATAACTTTCTATGTAAATCTCTGATCTGATCTCTAGCTCTTTAACAATCACTTTATTTTCAAATAATATTCAATGTCTAACTACTTCACAAATGTTCATAGAGTAGTTAGTTATTAATATTTGATTCAAATAATTCATGTGCTTAACGTGTATTGCAGAGACACTGGCACATGGGGCCCCGAATCTTTTAAGCACCTAGCGACACCTCTGGTATATTGAATGTTCATGCTGTTGACCCTATTGCTTTCAACTAACTAGAAGCCCTCGTGATCGTGGTTGGCAACGTTTGACATCCATTGTAAGTGGTTTCCCCCCGGTGACTCGGCGATAAGAAACTGAAAATCTGGTTTCGATATCCGCGTTGGGCAGAACACAGATATACTTTTGTTTGTACACCAACAAACAAACAAAAACCCTGTATGTGTAAGCTTATAGGCTATGAGATTATTGTAAAGGCATTTTTCAATAAATGAAAAATTATCTAATATTTAGTAACTATTAAGAGTTTTTTGTTTGTTTTTTAGAGTTTGTTAACGTACTTTGGTAATTATTTAAAGTTAATATTATATAAGCTCCGATATGTGATGCTGTATGCTTATTAGTGGCATGGCATGAAAGGTAATTCGTAAATGTCTTTTTTCAATAATGAAGCATAAACGAACCTTTCAGATTTGTACATAGTTATTATAATATTGTCATTTTACAACGAAATGCAACTGCGCCTATAAAATTATTCTGCGAGTCTCGAGTTTAGTAATAAGTCTAAGTCAACATATTTATAATGAGAAGGGGGAAAAAAACATAGCAGTGTGCATCCATTTAACATATTTGTATGACTTGCGTGGTGCGCTTCAGTTTTTGTTCTTATTTTTTGTTTTTGTAATGCATTATTCTCAGCTAATAATTGCTCAATTTACAATTATTCTGTTTATTTAAAACACCTTAAAATTATGTTCAAAAGAAAACACAGAGACTAAAGTTTTTCAGCAAAAAGCAATTTCATTATTTACTTGTACGTGATGTTCCATTTCAAATTTTACAGTTCTTTAAAGTTCTCTTTACATCTACACCTAACTTATGAAGCGTTCTCAACTGTTTTATTGTGATGAACTTTGATGGAAACTTAATTGAAAATTAGGATGTGAAAGTATGATTATATTTTTCTGCAGGTAATAATCCAACAGAGGTCAGTAGATGTCATGCAAACAATCGTCATATAAAATGATGAAACCGAAGTTGAAATGTTTGGCTCATGGCGACTAGTTGTAGTAGTAATGACAGTAGTTCTGCACCAATAGATTTTCGTCTTTCTTCGTCTTTAAGTTCAAACAACGGTAAAGGAAGTGTTTACGGGAGCGGGAAATGCCCACTGTGCACTCAAAGCAAACGAATCTTTTTTTGTCAAGATTGTATACGCAACGGGGATTTTACGCATTGCAAGCCTAACTCTAAGTCAAGGTACCCAGAAAGGTTAGTATTAGTAGGTAACACTACCGTCTACAGTATTACTAATATTAGTTATACTAATAATCCTAGACAAATGCTGAAATAGTGAGTGACAGTGTATTGCACCTATCACTTGGTTAAATAAGGGAAAAGTATAAATGCACAAGTTTTACTGTTTATACTACTATTTACTAGAAGTTAGTAGAACTACTTTTCAACTAGAAGTACTAGTGGAGAAGACAAAACTGTAGATTTTGACTGAGTTTGAAATTGTAATTTAAACTTTTTTCTGTAGTTTTTAATAACATAGTTAATTTAGTAATAAGTTGTAATATAACATAAGTTAGTGTTAGAATAGAACTTGGAGCAGAATACCAGGTTGCAGATATTTGGATTTGGTTCTGTGTATGAAGGTATATTTCTAGGTATAGATTTTTACTTCTACTTAAAGAAATGATTGAAACGGGATTAAAAAGGTGTGGATTATAGAATATATGTCAAAGGTATTAAAACAAGTATGTTTTCTGATTTTAAGGAAATATGATTACAAAATAAGCTATCCTGTAAGTCTTTGTTGATTTACTTATTGTACAATAAAACATGCTAAGTATATTGAACAAAAGAAATACATTACTTTGCATTAAAATAGTTAGACAGAAATCAAAACAAAAGACAACATAAATATGAATGCCAAAATTCTCCAGTGCAGATTCATATATAATTTTGTGAAATGCAGTAATTTTTTTCACATCTATGTATTAAAATTCTAAAGCCTTACCTTTTCTGGGATCTGATGCCTCAATCTTGTCAATTCCATAATAGTTTTTAATATTTCAATTAGTTCACCCCTAACCCCTAGAGAACAAGTTCCTTTTTTGTTATTGTATTTAAATTTGAAGTGACTTTTTCCTTCATTTAGTTTAGCTGTCTTTTGTGCTTATGCATGATGTTAACTAACACTCATTAAAAATTAATTTTAGCATTATTTTCTTAGTGAGTCAAAATGACCAACACTAGGTGATGCTGAAGTCTTTATCACACTGTTGGTCATATGTAGTATGTCTGTCACATCATGTAAAATATATTGATCAGATGTTTTGCCTGAAGTAAATAAACATACCACATTGAATATTAATCTCATCATCTGATAGCAACTAAAGGAAATGATAAATCAGATGCTTGAAAACATGGAATTTTAGGTTGGATGTTGTTTGAAACTCAGTTTGGCATATAAATGTTGTGAGTTGTAATTATTCTAGTGACTGCAGGTGCTTTAAACGTGTGCAGAATTTTTGCAAGCTGTTCACAGTATATGGCAACTTGGCATTCAATTGCCAGAGGTGAATTGTACCATTTATGGCAAATCAACAGTCAGTGGGTTAATCAGACAGTATGAATGTGTATTATTAAGAACATTTTGTGTAATTTATGAAATTAGGTTTTTTCTTTCTAGTTCTTTTTCCTAAATTCTCATATCAAGGTTGGTTATATTGATTAATTAGAAGTTTTACATTCAGTTGTGTTTATTAAGTGTGGGCTTGGAATTTTCAAATTGTGAACTCATGAGTACACTCTGTTTTTTAAGAATTCTGCCATTAACATTTTTTGTTACTCTTAGTGTAAAATAAAAGATTCATTACAAAAAGGTCTCAATCTCTCCTTATACACGTAATAAATAAACAATTTGCAAAAATTAAGTATGATCTAAGGATAGCAATGCCATAAAGTACAGAAACAAGGTAGGGATGAATACACATAACCATACAAAAATCACAACGTAAGTAGCCAAATCTTTCTTAGCAGTAAGTTCAGTTTATAAGCATATATTATTTCCATGTTTCATAAACAACAGTTTCATTTGTGGTCACTAGATGACAGCACAATTTTTTCTTGTATAGCTAGCATTTGTGACTTTTCATTGAACAAACAAGATATCTGCCAAAACAATTTCAGTAAAAATAAATAAATAAATAAATAATAATCTAAATTAATATTCAAGGAGATCAAGTATTTATGCAACTGACAGATCTGTGTATATGTTATTGATGTCTGAGTTTAAAGACACCAGTTTCTTAATCAAAACAATACATTTTATATCAGTCTACTTTTCTTCAAATTTTCAGTGGGGCCAAGCCTTGCAGCTGTGTGTGTGTATATGTAGTATCATACTTCATGGCCTGGGATCTCCTTATTAATCGATATGACCCAAGCATGTGGTGGAGTCGATTGTATGTACATGCAGTGAGTTGGAAGGCGTGGTGTCTGTAAATATCTTCTTAATGTCTGTTCAGTCCTCTGGGGTATTTCTACTGTCCTGGAGAAACCATTCCAGCTTCATTGGTCCTTAGTGTAATCCAGAATTAGAGAAACTGACAAAACTGTTATGATATTAACAATATATATATTATTACTGAATTATAAAAATATAACAAATTTTTACTTATCAACATACTTCAATGAAATTGTTTAAAAAAAAAAAAGGAGAAACAAGTAAGAAACAAATAGCAAAAAGTAAGTATGAAATAGGGGTGGCAATGCCAAAAAGTACACAGACAAGGTAGGAATGAATACATAAAACCTTACAATGTTATTATTTTCCTACACTGAAAATGTATTTTTGACAGGTACTTACCTCTGCTGACATAATAGCTTTTCTTGTTCAGTACTGCCCTCTAAATGCAAAATGTTTCACTCTCCACCAGCCTTGAACCTCCTATCTATCCCACAGAAAGTATACCCTGGACAAGACAAGAGTTCGTCTTCCACAGGTGTACCTCTATAGAGCCCTTGTCATTGGGTGTCACCAACACCTCCACCACTTGAGTGTGGGATTTTAGCTAAACTGTGTGTGGAGATGAGGTATTGTCTTGGAAGTTAACGTTTTTCTTCCTTGAAAACGTATTTCCAATAAATACTCACCTCCTAACACACATTCCCACCCATCCTCCCCACTTCTGGTGCACCTTTGTTTTCCTTGCTTCATCAAAGAATGAAGAATCATGAGTGCAAGTGCATAGGGGGAGTTATTGAGCATAGAGATGTGGAGGGCTTTTGTTTAATGATGACATTATCATGCAAAGCACAATTCACATAAAATCTTTTGAAATTAGGTGGGAGTTGCCTAAAGGCTAGTGACATACAAATCTCTAAGGCAGACACGTGAGGAAAATAGCTAAACTGTGTGCGAAGATATCTACTGAAAATGCATTTTCAGATAAGGAAAATGTTAATTTCTATTAGCTCTACCAGTTGCATGAGAACTCTGTGTTGCAGGCTTAAGAATTGTATCATTCAGTACCCAAAGTGTGTTTGTCCCACCTACATAATTAAGAGAATTCCTGTCTAGATTGTGTTTAACTTATATTTACTTATGATACTCACATGCATAATCTTAAACTTGCCATAATTAGATGCCATCTGCCTTGTATTTGGCCAACTGATCTACGTCACTAGGTAAAATTACAGTGACCTTATAATAGCCAGCCAGATTTAAGATTTTTCTATTCTTAATAAATGTAACTAATTTCCCAACTCCATGTATGCCATTATCAATGCCATTAATGTGTACAATCTTACTTGCTGTGGCACATTGAAGCTAGGCAGTATCATCATTGTATTATCTCTATGGACTTGCTTAGTTCCTTGAAGATCCAGAAAGTGCATAACATTAACAAACAGCTGGTCAACATAGCTTTATTATCTTCATACAGTTTTTATGGATTCCTGGCCATAATTGACACCTCAGCCATATTGGTCACCACAAGCACTATTAAACCTCTGTCCATTCCATATTTTGATATAAATCATTTCATCAGGTTGATGTTTTGTACCAGATGGCAGGTAATTTGGTATGATGAGCAGAATAATAAGCCTTTCCAGATAAACCTACTGTTGATTGGCCCTGTAGTTTATATGGAAGTTGTAAAGATATTTCAATAAAACTCCATATTAGCCATAGCCAATTCACAAATTCTTTCCTCTTGTAAGGACCTGACCCACCAATATATGAGCAGTGTGATGCTCACGCCATTATTGGCTACATATTACTTTCTTTTTATCACGTTGATATTCAGTGTCAGCTGTATTTATGACACATTTTAAATGACTCATGGTGGGTCCCTTTTACAATAGGCATTCTCATCAGAAATTATGACACCATCAAAATAGCCATTATTTTTTGTTGTATATGGGCCATGAGCCTTTTGAAATTGTATTTCATGTTTAACAACAGCAAACAAGTTATGACCTTTTTATTTTATTATTAATTTTTTACAGTTAATTTATATTCAAGCAGTTTTATTATTAATACTAGGGTTAAGAAGAAACCTGATAGCTTTTTGCAAAAAAAAATAATAAACAAACAAAAACTTGGAGGCCTCGGAGAAGCTCTTTTTCTCAGACATTCGACTTTTGCAGGTATTCCAGGTTCCATGGAATCTCAGGGGGATGTGGCCTGTTTCCACTTTTCCCTTTAGACACTGGCCTTCCATCTTTCTCAGTCTTCTAACTGATGGCTTACTCAGACCTCCTGTGTCAGCCACACATTCTGTCAGAACACAAGGAAGATTCTGCTTTTATCAGGGTGTATGTTATGCTTGTGTGGAGTACTGACAATGGAATAGGTGACTAACCTATAGGGTCCAGGTTATGTGGGGGCTTGGGTCTGTATGGGAGACCTTTGCCTCAGATCAGTTGGTCATTAAGGTTCTTACAAAAGGGTTGGTCCTTCATTTTATGTCTCCTCCTCCATTGTTTACTATAATGGTTGTCTTTCCTCTCCCAAGGATCATCTTAAATCCAGTTGCCGAGCACAAGCCATCCAAGTTCTGCTCAAACTGTCTTTAGGGTTTTTATTCCCATTTGTTTGTAGTAATGAAGAAGACAGGCAGTTGGCAACCTGTCATCAACTTTTCTTGTCTCAATCCTTTCCTCCATCCTTCTCAGCCATGGAGTCATTTCTTTACCTCCAATGGCATTTTGCACCTGTTCTATGGATGACAAAGTTTGATGTCACTGATGCCTACATTCATATTTTGATCGTGGAGTCTTCACTTTGATATCTCCATTTTGTGCACAAGAAACAGGTTTTTCAGTTTCATGCTCTAACATTTGGCCTTGCACCTGTTCCATAAGTCTTTTGCCATATAGTCAGATCTTTTTCATGTCATCTTCACTCAATGGACATTCACACTCCCCATTATATGGATGACTGGATTCTTCACATTTGAGCTCTTTTATTTGAAGCTGCAAGAGCTGGGTTTCTCATCCAGAGTCTATTCTTACTCCAACACAGTACCTTGTCCATTTAGGGGTATTTTTCAATTCAAGTCTCTGTTGGGCCCAACCTTCTCCTCTATGCCTTCAGACCATGAAACGAGCCATTCTTCTAATATTGTCATCTCCTTCTCCACTGACACATGTGGTTTGTTCTCTTTTGGAGATGTGGACATCCTGGGAATCACTTATTCTTTTGGGTAGGGTCCACATGTGTTCCCTTCAATGGTTGTTACAGAATCATTGGAATATTTGCAAGGATGCACTGGATTGTCCGGTGGCCCTATTGGCTTTCAGCCTATTCAATCTTGGCTGGTAGTTGTAAAGGGATAACATGACAGAAAGTGCCCCTCTCCCACCCTCACATCCTGAGATATATCTTTTCATGGATGCTTCTCTCTATGGATGTGGAGCTTGTGTAGGGGATATGTAAATCAAGGGCCTCTGGATAGAAGAGGAATCTTCTCTCCACATCAATCTTTTAGAGTTTCCATGGGCTATTTCTCAGGCTCTCCAATTTTTGCAAGGGGGCACATTGACATAGGTGGAAAAAACTGTTGGGTTAAAACTAAAGTGTGAGAAGAGGAAGTATTATCAGAAATACATTTTTAGTATAGGAGTATGTTAACTTTGAGACTCCAGATATGTGTAGTCTTCCATAAAACCAGGAACTGTATGATAAGCTTCTCCACAATGTACAAATAATTACTACTGTAAAGATGTCAAAATATTAGTTAGTCCTGACTATTATCCACATCTCTGCATTTAACCCTGTTATGCTTAAGACTAAAAAGACAGCTTTGTCCCTGAGGCTCTTTAACTTAAAAAGGAAACAAAATAAAAATATCCTGAGACATACACATAGAAGACATATTTTTTTTAATGGTTCATACATGGAGGAACTGAAATTTTCTATTTCATACAGAAATTAACCACTGAAATACTCAACACTGCCATTTTGTTTCTCATATATTTTTGAAGTGTGTTAACTATAAGTTGTGGCTGGTTATACACAGAAATGAGGTGTGTTTAAGAAAGTAATAGAAAGTGGGTGATCATACCCCATTATGAAGGTTAACTAGAACATTCTAGAAAATGGTTATTGGTTTAGAATATCTAAAGGAATATGGCCATTCATTTCAAGATAGAAATGTATTGCTGGTCAGCAAATCTGTTTGTTAACCTTATGCGCATAGGGTGGAGGAGGGTCAAAGTGTGCATGCCCCTACCTTTTACATAGTGTCATTCAACATGATATTATGAATTTGATGTCAAGAGTTATCAGCCTATCATGTTACTCCTCATTGCTGATTTTGCAACAGTTCATGTTAAAGTAGAGAAAATATCATATACTGAAAAACTTTAGATATGCATTTAAGAGGTTATTAGGCTATGCAAATACACTTTGCAAATTGTACAATGGACAAGAGTATTTTCATTCTTGACATGATGATCACCTTGCACTCTAATTTGTAAAAGTTTAAGTAAGACTGGTGTCAATATTTCAAAGACATGTCTTTAGCATAGAAACTTTACTAACACATCTGATATTTTGTGTTACAACAGACTTGAACTGTTGACTAAGAGTTTACCAATCTTGTGAAGGTACACTTTGTAAATTCTGAATTATAGTCAATATTAATTCTCTATTATTTGATCTGTCCAATAGACTGACCCCTTACACATTCAGTACTTTTCTTGACTTTCATGTTGTGTTTTACTAAAAAGTCTGAAAAACTGGATGTGGCATTATATACCATTCAAGTGAGAATGCTTTTGACAGTATGTAAGATCAAATGTGTAAGATGTACTGGATCTTCAGAGCATCAATCCAACATACAGATTTATTAATGAAACAAAAGGTATCACTAGCCACAGCTGTCTTTTGATTTTGAAGATTGTTAATGGCTTGTACATGGTAGAAGTTTCAATATAGATTTTAGAATCTGAATATACCAGAATATATTTACATTGTAAAAATGTTGAGACTGCATACTTGTATATAATGTCATTATATACAAAACAGTTTATGGCATTATAAAAGGAAATTGAACTATCACTTGCTCAGCAGGTAGGTGTATATATATATTAAAATAATGCCTAAAATGTACTTTACATATGGTTTCATTTTTGATCCAATTAAGATATCCAGTTATGTAATGTATGAAATTGTTTGATCATACATGTGTTAATCATATTGTATTCAAGAATATCTGTATGACAAAGAATAAAACCTTTGCTAATATGTAGTCTGTTTGAATAAACAGTGACAGTTTAAGTGGTGAATATTTATTATCATATTTGTGGCTTTTGTAGGATTTAGAGTAACCACTAATATTTGAAGTAACTTTTTTAATGTTTAAATTGATATTAGTAAATTGTTCTGATTATGTGTTTTACAATAAGGATTACTAATGAGACTAGCATGGATTTATCAATACAAATCCAAGCTACAAAGAAACAGAAGCAGCATTTTATGATAGAAATTTTCCATGACAGAATTATAACCTGTATTCTGAGCCTCCAGCTAGCTTATCAAGTAATTTTAGACTTGGCACATAAGAGGTTTTGCAGTATCAAAATTTTAGTTGATTTTCATTAATTAGTCTGAAAGTTAGGCAAGTGAAGGAGAAAATTTGGTTGTTGATATATTTTATGTACATTAATGGCACCATAATTACTTCTTCTCTCGCATACAACACAAAGATAATAAAATATTATATAGTCTTTTTGTGCTTGAATTCATGATTTTTCACAATGCATTTTATAGAAAAAAATTACTTTTCATACATTTTGATAAACAGTAGTGCAATAATGATATCCATTACATTAACAAAAAAGTTATTTGGTCTGGAGAACAAAAGGTGCATTTATTTGTTCACTTATCAAAATATTACAACTGCTATATATATAAAAGAAATCCTAGTTTCAACTGTTAAAATATTAATTATTCAAGAATGCCCAGAATACAATATTGTATTTTTTTATTTTCTAGATATGCAGAAAAGAAACTGAAGTTATTTAAGGCTTCTCATGAAAAGTCTATTCTATTAGAGAGGTAAGTTTGACTATGAAACAGTGGACTTGTGTTATATTAACATATAACACTCATTTTAGTAACTACATTACTTCCATTAATATTTTCCTCACAAAATCAGCAGTTTCTAAGATTTATCTTCCATAGATTTCTACAAACTATATTGCATTTGATTTTAAATCACATTTTTTTAGATAAACATTTTGAGAACTTGTAAATTAAAGAACAAGCCTATATTCTTATGTAACTTTATTTATCAACTACTAACATTCAGAGTTCTGCTGAAACAATTTAAATGTCAAATTAAGAAACACAAACATTACTTTAGCAAGTGAATCATTAACTGTATATGTAATTATTTTTTTCACAACTGCAGGAGTTAATATAGGTACTTAAGTTTTGATTCTTAACTTGCATTGATATTCTTCAATCCAAGAATTGTACTCTGTAGCAACAGTTCTTCTATGAACCTTTCCTAAAAGCTTAATATCTCTATATTATAAAGATACTAAAAATATTGTTGTAACATATTCTACTGGTGTGTGGGTTCTTTTGCATTATTTGACAAAAATAATGCCAATTCTAGTTCATGTAACATAATAAATTACTTTCACATGTAGGCTTAATTTCACATTCAAAGAGTAATTCTGGGACAAATGGTACCCCTAACTTACAAATTTACTTGTTGATGTTAAGTTTCCTCTTGTTAATCAATTTATAACAAACTCATTAAGTAACTGAATAGACACAATAACTCTCATTAGTAACACTGAACTAAATAACTCACTGACTGGCACTGAAGCAATTCACTCTGACTCACTTAGTTTTCTACATTTTCTACATACTATAAGAAACTTCTAAATTCCTAACTTTTGTGAAATTTCTAGATGATGTCATGACTAGCTCCCTCTACTAACATTTATCTAAATTAAGACAAAAAATACAGCTTACAACAATATAGCATTCCAAATGAGAGTCTTTTATCAAAGCAAAAAAATAGTCCTTTTCCTCACAAAATAAAGCATAGAAAGAACTAAACTGTCTAATTTTTTAAATATTATTATGCCATATAATCCATACTTTTCTGATTAATCCTTCAGTATTGAAAATTATCAAATCTCTTCGTGGGTTGTTCAATTAATTCAACCAAGTCTTCATCATACTTCACTGCATTCAGAAATGATGTGTTGAATAGTGGCACACTTTCATCTGTTGTACTGTTCTTATGCTATTATTAGACTTCTGTTATTGTACTGCTGGCTATGAATATTAAAAATGATGTGATACAACTTCTAGAGACTTTCTTCCTTTTACATACTCTTCCAGATATTATAAAGGTTTTATGAGCCTCTGGTTCAATTCTTACTCACAAAGATTGTACGTACCCATATTTTCCTGGTTCTTGTTTGGTTTGAAATGCCTCATCGGGACTTCTGTGGGGTTAAATAGAAATAGAAGTATAATACACAATAATCATTTTGATGAAAAACATTATCTATATGTTTTTATGTGTAGTACTGAGAATACTTATGGAAACAATGGGGGGGGGGGGGGGGGGTTAAAAAGGAAATACTACAGAAATGCTACCCATTTGTCATATGAAAATAAACTATACCAGAGTACAGTTACATGCTAGAAGTTTAGGTTACACTGTGATTGGTAGTCAGCCAAGAAATAGAAAGTGTCGCACCAATATAAAGACTATATTAAAAAACATGCAGTCTTAGCTTGCCCAGTAATAGTGTGAATCTAGTTATGACTATCAGGACTGAAATGTCACATGACAAGCATGTACAAATCAGTTAAGTTGGGCAAGAAAACTCAATGCTTAAAATTGTGGCAAAACTTCATGTTGCAATAGGAGTTGCATGCAAGACCCTGAAGAGAGTACATGAAATTGGAACTGTTAATATTAGTGGTCAAGGTAGAAAACTGAAATTCTCTAAAACTTATGTTAAGTATCTCAGAGTTTGTTCTTTATTAGATATATGATGCTCAAATACAGATCTTGCCAATGAGCTTACTTAAATAAAAGTGTGAGAACAATAAGATACACATTAGTATGAAGTGATCTCAATGGATGTATAGCTACTTGAAAAAAAACAACACTGCTGAGAATAGTAAACAAAAAACAAAAAGGTTGAATTAGCATGGGATCACTAACTGTGAAATGATTAAAGCTAGAGATGTATTTAGAAATTAACCCAACTTTGAATTGTTTGACAACAATCAACAACAGTTTGTTCAGTGGTGGAGAGGAGAATGATATCATAGTCAGTGTATATCTATAGTGAGGCATGGTGGGAGATTAGTACACATTTGGAGATGCACCTTGACCAACAGTGTTGGTGATCTGCACAAAGTTTATGGCACCCTGACTGCTGATAAGCACAGGTAGATTTTGAGCTGCCATTCCCTTCCCTCAAGAACATGACTCATCCTCCAGTAAATATGCAGCAAGTGATATATTAATGTTAAAGTAACCAATGGAACACTCACAACCATGATTCATGAATTAATCTGCATAAAGTTATAATATGAACATTATTGAGGCTGTATTTACTTATATACAAACTGACAAGATTCAATTGTACAGAGTATTAAAGAACACTTTAAAAAATATTCCACAATCATACATTGCATGACAGCATGAAAATAAAGTGTAATGCTCTGTGTAAAACAAAGGCCTTGCATACAAAATATTAATACATTACATAGCTTATTTGCATTTCCTTTGTATTTTCATTGCTAATGTTTTTTACCATTAATAACTTTGTCACCTAGAGCCATTATCCATTGTTTGTGACTCCTGTATTTGTATTACTTGCAATGACATTTATAGAATGTTATGGGTCCCAAGCAAAATTTGAGTATAAGCTCAACCTTTTTTTTTTACAACTCATATGAGAAATAAGACATAGATAATTATATTTTGATGGTATAGCAGTTTCTTAGCAAATATAAACTTATGCTTTAGGGTGGGCAGAAAAAGTAAAAAAAAAAGATCAGTAAGTGAGTTGTTTACAGGTGAGGCTCCTACACAGAAAGGAAAGTTTTCATTTTGCTTTACAAAATACCCTAGATAAATGTTATTGCAAAATGACAAAGTATCACTTCTAAAATAAAAATATTATTAAAATAGTGTTGCGTCAGCGAGGTCACGTGACTAGTATCACGCCACCTCTTTCTAGAAATATCCTGTTCTTTCATGAATGCCCTAGCATTTACTAGATATATGTTAGTCTTGTATATATAAGACGGTCATAACGTGACGGGGCAATGAGTAATTGAACTGCAGTCAGAGAGTGTGTAATTGAACTGAGTATTGTTGAAGTTGAGCACGTGAGACGTTTGTTGAGAATTATAGCGTTTTTTATAGCGCAGCTGTTGAAATTAAGTGTATTGCAAAGTTATATTCAGAAAGAATAAACCAGTTTTATTTAAGAAAGGACTTGTGTCGCTAAAGTTTCGTCGGAATGAAGTTACGGAAAATTAACTAACAAACGGAGACGAAACAATAGTTAGAGTTACTATTTCTAGTTAAAGTTTGAGATGTAATATGCAGGTGTGCACTTGACATCTGAAAGGTGCCCAGCAATTGTGAAAGGGTTAATGGCCTAACTTTATGGACTCTCTTGATCCCCTGGCCCCGTAGTTATGTAATGGTAGTATGTATGCTACTGATTGTTCGTGTGTTTCAATAATAGTTTCCTCACCTCAAAGTCATAAGTAAGTAAAGACAACTTTTTTAGGTGGTTTATGATTATGTTGTATATGTACAATAAAGTTACTGTAGATAGAGCCACTTGTACATTATTTATAATTCCCTCATAAAAGACACATTGTAACAATTTTAATAATTTCATTTGTTGTAGTTTCAAAGAAAAGTTCTCAACTCGTTCAAGGTTGAAACATTTGGTAAGTCTTTCTGGTTTCTGTATGTGGATATAACAAGTATTGCCTGGAAGTATGTAGTATTTTGATGATAATGATTGTGTGTATTTACATAAGTGAATTGATATGAAATGCGTAATATTAGTATATATATGTAAAGTTTCAGCACTGTATTGATATGTTATTAATCATGTAAACCAGTATGACTGACATGAATTGTATTGGACCAACTTCATATGAAAGTCTTTTGCTCTATAAGAAAAAACTAAAAACTTACACTGCCATTTACAAGGTTGGAAGAAGACACACCTTTGGAAATGAGGGGAAAATAAAAATGTATTGGTTGTAATAGCAATAGACTAAATTATATAATTTAAAACACACATGTGTGTGTGCATATATATATATATATATATATATGTGCTATCATAATCTAATTATTTACCCTTAAACATTAGACATTATATTCATTAGTAACCAAAATGTACCATAATATGAATATTACAGACAACAAAGATAATATCTTGGAAACTTCCTTCAGTTAAGCACGGAGGTAGATATATCTTGGTTCATAGCTGCTTAGATGCAAAAAAAAAAGACCAGGGGACATTTACAGGTTCATGTACATAGAATTATTATAGTAATACAGAATCATGTTATGTTGTCTAATGTTACTTTTATTAACCAGTATTTCATTTTCCAACAGTAAGAGGAATTATCCAAAATATACACTTAAATTGTGCTGAGGCTGCATTGAATGCATGGAACACGAAGGGGTTCTCTAAAAAATGACTTGACCACTACAAACTCCAGATTTATCACCTATTGAACTTCTGTTGGTTGAGATTGACAAACATGAAGAATCTATTATGACAAATAATTTAAAAGATTTGTATCACTATATATTCTTACAGCCTGGAATGTCATAATGTCTGAATGTTTTGGTAAATGTATTTATAGAATGATATGAATATGCAAAGCTTCATTAAGTTCAGTGATGGCTGTTTCAATTAATCTAATGCATAAGTAAAAATAATTAGATTAACCTTATATTTGCACATATCTAAGTGTATAATATGATATTTATTGCTATTATGTTGAATAATTTAATTTCAAGGGCATTTATTTCATTTCTATCTGCTTACAAACTTTCTAGCAGTAGTGTATATATAAAAATAACAGATCAACAGTAAAATAGAGATAGGAAAGTGTTGGTGAAAAGAGCCAGAAGATGGAAGGTATCTATCTAATCTCTTATAATGTTAAAAGTAATACAAAACAGGAATGTATGTGGTGTTTATTATAAATAATTATTAACATTTTTTACAAGTAACTCTACTGTAGAAAAATGTAATAAAATGAAGCATTTATAATATGAATTATTAGTTTTGAAATTATTAATCAGAAAAATGTTTTTATCACTGAATAATTCAAGAATGTTTATTTAAGTAAAAAAGTTAGTTAATATTTACTCCAGTAAATCATTTCATTATGTTATTATCTTACCACCTTTTTTGAGTCAGTTAGATATGACTTTTGTATATTGCAATGAGGGAACAACAAAAAGAATCAAACACTTTATTAACCTTATGCTTATGACAAGGTCAAAGTGCATGTCACACCCTTTTATAGAGATACATTCAAAATCTAATTAAACAACTTTATTATAAAACATAGTTTGTAATTCAAATTTTAATATTATCTAAGTTTTAACGTATTGATTTTTAGAAGAAACATTTCCAAAAATTATCAGTCTTCACTCCTCTGTGTCACCTGGTGTGTCTGCACTCCAATTTCTCTCTTTCAGAATTTCATACCATCGAAAATAGGCTGTAGAGGTTTACAATCAATTAGATTCATAAACTATACATAATTACAAGCAAGAATGTAAAATTTTAACACCCTACCTACTCGACTTGCTGGAATATCAATAGATAATGTGAAAAATAACACTTATTTTTTATTAATATGTACAATTCAAATTGTATACTTACTTGAGATAATATTTTGTCTGACTTAAGAAATGAACCTATAAATCTAGATGTAATATAAACTTAAATAACAGTCGTACTTAAAATTTGCTTTTATATAAGATCAATATTGTACTTAAAGTATTATGCAATATTATTGTAATATTTCAAACTTACAGTTTCCTTGACTGTTACATTTCTTTTTTTTGTGTGTGTTATAAATTTGATGATATGATGTAATTAAATCAAGGTTTTCTGACTGAATCTGATTATTTACGTCTTAAAAACATCTAATAATTTGCTATAAAGGAGGATATTCTAACTTTAAAGTTTGTTAAGATATAGCAGCACACAGTTTAATGGTTGATCTCATCACTAGTGTTTTCTCTCACTTTTCTTTTTTCAGTCTTAAAACCTGAAACTTAAACAGTGTTTGTAAGATGTTGAATGGGAAATACAAGTGTTAATGAATGTATAACTTGTGAACAGAGGAGTACTGTATAAGTTCCACATTTTGTACCTCATGTTTACACAGTACTATGAGTGAGTTTTGTAGTTAGCTGTAAGTGTAGATTTTATTATTATGTACATGTACGTGAAATGCCTACAAGTGAAAATTTAATGATTTGAACTTCACACAGGGCTCGTATAATGTGTAATATTTAATATTAAGGTCTGCTGTTAATGTAAATTAATGAAGACTTAAATAATTTATTCTAAGATTTTTTGTTACTCTATTATATATTTCAAAGCTTTAACATTCATGTTAAACTTGTTCAAATTAGGTATTGAAAAAACAACAGCTACTACAAAGAATTGAACTCCTGGAATTATCTCTGAAGGAGAGTAAGGAAACAGTAAAAGCAGGTAATTGATTATTTAGGAATTAAATGAATGAAAGATACAAAAAAACAATAATTTTTTTTCATATCTGTTTATTCTCATTTGTGGTTAGAATATATCAGTTGTTTAAAGAAAATTGCTTCCACCATCAAATTAAAACATGAAATATTAACCATATTACATTTTTGCTTTATCTTTGTTAGTACCAAAGTCCAAAATCAGTCTGGTGGCAAAATTTTTTATTGCATGTTGTCTGGATTTGGTAATTTCACATGACCAGAATGCAGTTTAACCAAAAATTATTTAAATGTTCAGATGGAATCATTAGATATATTAATAGCTAAAATGTTTGATATTTAAAATTTACAATGTCAACATTATTCTATTGAATGTTAAGGGAAAATTATAATATTGAATGTAGCTAAATTATTTGTAGACTTGCTTACATATTTGTTATGTAGTTCAGGTATTTTTATCCTTTTGTAAGTAAGTACTTTTGCTTACCACGGTTGTGGTACAAATTGTTGCAGGTGTTCTTCTGGATGGTCCTGGAACCCAAGTTGATCAATCTTCCTTTATTTACCAATGTCATTAAATACAAGGGATATTCAGAGTTTGAAAATTCTTAACCCCAATTTGAACACATCTTTATTATATCATATAATATTTTGCATCACTAGGGGGCTGTTACCTACATTTCCCAAAATTGATCAATTTTTGGTGGCATCATATTACCTATGAAATACCATAGAATGTCAAAATGTAATTCTGGTACATGCTATTCCATGATGACTGTTTATCATGTGACTTGCTGATTTCCATATTCAAAATTATTTTAATATAACTTACCCAGCCTTCTGTAGTATCTGTTAGCCTAATGTTAGGCCTAATAGTATGTAATGTTAGAGCATTGATACAATGCCACCTAGTAAGGTAGCATTAGTTGCTTTTTTCTGCCAAATATTGGTAAGTTTTTAGTTTTTATAAGAGTTTGAAACTACTAACTTTGAAGGAAAGTTCAAAAAGTGTGTCTGTACATCTTTATTTATAAGAACAAGAAATTACAAGCTCAGTAATCCACTGAAAGGTCAAGAATGAATGGACTATTGTTGTGATTGATTCAGTAGTTGAGTTTGTTCTCATCTATTTTGAGCAAAAGAGTTTATGCACAAGCAGTCTACTGAAAATAGTATGTTTTACATAATGTTTTTATAAGTTAGAGCAGCTAATTATAGACCTAGTCAAATATCTTTAAATTAGGCACTCAAGAGGTAGTACAGTATGTTATTTCTGACTGGGTGGATTATATATGAATGAATAATGCCTAAAATAAGTTAAGGTGTAACTAATTGTCTTTGGAAAAATAAGTTTTAGAAGTTATTTTTGTAATGTACGTGTCGGGTATATACAGCAAGTGAGGAAATATGATCAAAAGATTAAAATATATCCATATCATATTTCTTCTTATTTTCTAATCGTGTCATTATATATGATAAATATCTTATCATGAAATATCCCTTAAACAAGCAAATTTATTGTTGCAGTTTGGTTTACCCAATATCTGCTTAACATTATGGTTTTTATATCTTATTAGTAGACCTGGTCATATATCTTCTGTTAAAAAATTCGTACTTACTAACCTGTTTGCTGTTTTGTTTTCTGAGTAGTTATTTGTGTCACATATTATATTTAATAAATAAATAATGAAATCTATTTGCCAAGTGAATTGGCTCTTTCAAGAAATTTTTGGTGTCATGCATTTAAAACCCATCCAGTTTTTGCTCATATTAGATTCCTTGTCAATAGTATTGATATTATATATATACTATTTTTTAACTGACCCTTTCTTTTATAAACAGTAAATATATGCTCATCAGTGGGGTTCCATTCTCAGAATTTATAAACAACTTTGAAATGCCCTTACAGTTGACCATACAGAAAGGCTATGCTTAATATATTATAAGTTATTATTTATGCTTCAAATTTGAAAGATTTAGTAAGCAAAGAGGACTAGTAATATCTAAAAATAAAAATTCATGCAGTTCTAAAAAAATATTGGTAAAATCTGGTTGACTATCATATATAACAGAATAAAATCATAGTAGTATATTCCATAATTCAAACTTAGGCATACTTTTAATTAATTTACTGATAATTCAAAAATATGTCTCCAAATGCAAAGGATGTTTACAAACATACATTGTAGGTTTATTTATTATATTATTATAAATAGTCTTCAACAAGGATTTGCAAGTAGAAAAAATGAAATAAAGTTAATGACATTAAGTTTTCTCACACATCTTAAAAAAAGACAAGTTACAGAATTTTAAGTCTTTCATATAAATAGAATTCATCATTCCATTTTGCATTCAGGACAAGCTTAATGGCAGTTAAAGAGACATTTAACAGTTTTGTTTTTCATAGGTATAAGAATTTTATTACATTTCATATCAAAAACTATCAGCTTTATCATCTACATATACTATAATTCAACGATAATCTGTTTTATATGTATTATAAAAATATTTAAGCTATGAAATAAAATCTTAACACTATATATAATAAACAAGCTTATTAATTTCATTTTATTTTATTATACACATGTCCTCCAGTGGATCAGCTGTAAGTTTTTATCTTGCAGCCCTAAAATCCGGGGTTTAATTCCCCATTATGGATAAAGCATAGGTAGCTTACTGTGAACTCTATGCTAAAACAGACAAACAATTAATAAATCATGAATAATTCATGTACCATTCAATTGAAAATACAGTGTAATAAATTCAACTGCATACCTAAAATGGGATGAAAGTAAGTTTGTAAGTGTCAGTGAGCTAATGGTTTAATACTTCTCTTTTCTCTTGTGCAGCACATTATATTATTCCTCCACTTATTGTTTTTCTGTTGTAACTTTGACCACAACAAACCTAACGATAGTATTATTCTGCAAGGCTTACAGTTACATTTTGTTAGATAGTAAAAATACTGGCTACTCTTATTCTATAAAATATTTTTGTATTTTGTGAATAAAAGAAATAATTTTCTTTAGCAATACACTTATTAAAAAGAATATTTTAAATCCTGTTTTCCTTTCTAACATTTTTTGTTTTTATGTTGTTATGGATTAGTAAAAATACCCACTATCTTGCATTTCTAATGGACATTTCCAGTTTTAATCAGCAATAATTAAATTATTTGTGTTCAATATAAATGAATTATTATTTTGAACTTGTAAGCCACTGCATTTGTCCCCTCCTCCCTCTTCACAGAATGCCCTTATGACATAGCATGTTTTTAACCAAAGGTAGCCATAAACATGTATTAAAATTTGAATAATCTGTTGAAGTGAAAAATAATTTCAAATGTTGTTCTTCAGTTGCAAGAATATTATTTTTTTCAGGTTAAACATGAACTATAGATGTCACAAATCTGCTTGAAAGCTAAAGTCCACTGCCACATTGTCAAATTAATTCTTTTTTTATATGACAGTGATGTTTTTCCCTATCATTAAAATCATTGTTTAGTTTTAGCAAAAAATAAAGATAATGTTAGACTAAAAACTTTTTGTGCATATCCATTAAATTACATGACAAAACACATGCATCTAAACTGCTCAAACTCTTTAGAAGTATACTATGTAGTATTTATAGGCTTTAGATAGCTCATAAAGACTAAATCCCTCGAATTATTAGAGATAAACATAATAAATTCAAGAAATATAAACTTATGGAAATAATAAGGACTTGGTGGACTATAGGAAATCAAGAGAGCTGATTAAAAAGGAAGTTAAAAGGGCAAAAACTGTTCATGAAAGAGGGTTGGCTGAGAGAGTTAAATTAAACAATAAGGAATTTTATAGGTATATGACGAGTAAGCAAAATGTTAGGATGGGGATTGGGCCTCTAAAAAAATATAGTGGGGAGCTGATCTCGGAAGATTATGAGATGGTAAACTTATTAAATTACATGTTTTCTTCAGGTTTTATGAAGGAAGATACAAGTATTATGCCTCAACCAGAGCACTTAACGTATGGGGAAAATACTGACATAAAAAGTGATAATTTTAAGTCCTGAAATTGTAAGAGAAAAGTTGGAAAACCTAAAAATAGATAAATCCCCGAGACCAGACAACTTTTATCCTAGAGTTTTAAAGGAACTTAAAGATTTTATTTGTGAACCACTAGCTAATATTTTTTTTAGGTCATTGAGTAGTGAAAGAGTATTAGAAGATTGGAAGTTGGCTAATGTTAGTCCAATATTTAAAGGAGGTGATAAAAATTGTTCCCTGCAGTTAGTCTTACATCAGTAGTTGGAAAGGTTTTGGAGAGTGTGATTAAAGATGCATTGCAGAGGCACTTAAAGCAGTTTGGTATAGTGTCAAAGAGCCAGCATGGTTTCACTAAGGGAAAGTCTT